GAAGGCTAGATAGAAAATCAGTCAAGCAATGACAGTTCGAACTTGTACCTCGAAATACCACGCTCATGTGAGTAAAGTTGTGCTTATCTGAGGTTCCAAACTCGAGATCCGCATAAAGTCTGCCAACGCCCATAAAACTTTATCGCACTTTATCACTACCATCTTTGTGGTCTAGAAGACACTAAAGGATTCAGAGAGGCAGAAAAGTATCCCTGCATAGACGGTCCATTCGAAATAGATGGGTAATAAGGTCTTTTTTACATATATTACGTACGTATATCCTAAAGAAATATGGCTTTGACAGCAGGTTTGCTTGAATAAGTCTTTAAATTAGCCATGTCTATGATGACCAGAGAATCGAACAAAAAGACTGAAAACATACCCACCGATGCGCCCAAGAAAGTAAAGCAAAAGCAGGTTAATCAAAAAATTTATATAATAACAGCTCTATATTAAACTATTAATTGACTTGACTGATGCTACTTCGTGATTAACGTCCGTTAATTATCTGTTATTAACGATACAGATATCTATTTCATTATCTATTTTCGACGATCATGCCTCGTGCGATCTGTCGCCATCAGTTTTCATATGCCACTATCAAATCTGAGTCCAAGTCTTTCAACTGCGCGCTAGTAGCTTTATGAGTATAAATTTGTCATAGTTCCAAATTAGCCACCTGCCATTCGTCAGACTTGAGAAATGACCTGCCGACTGTTACTTTCTGCCTTGCGAGACCTATATTAAATTGCCATGCGTCTTCTTATTTCTTCACTTATCAACTTCTCTCTGATGGAAACTCCTACCATGTTTCTTCCTATAGCGCGCTGCTATACTCTTAACAGCCTCCATCCATTTTCGTTATGTTCATCCCATTTCAAATTAATTTTATTCCATGAATACAAATCAAGCCATATCTGTCTGTGTTCGACCGAATGCTCCTTGATTGCTGAAAACCGTCCAGTCGTGCCCTCCTGCAAACGGCCCCCTAGACTACTGGAAGCAAAAGCACAGTGCGAATTATAGGAATTAACCAAGTTTTAATGTTTTAGCACTTCAACAAAACAGAAGTAACAGAACGTACCTTTGATTGGTCTCGGAAGTTCGGGAATGCCGACGGGCTGGCAGTAAACCGCCAGTATGAATTGATCCTGTCTGGAAAGCGAAGGAAAAGTTGGATGGGTCGGCTGCTGCATGAAGAAATGCGACGGACTGACGATGTAGCTGATGACGACTTCGACCGTGACGCTTTCCGGTAAGCCCAGCTGAAACTTAGGTCTTAATAAGCAAGACAAAACCAGACCAATTAGCGATCAAATAACACGGTATAAGAAAAAAACTATCTACAGTAACAGCCATGATTCGGCATCAACGATCGTCATTCCAGCATGACGAAGAAACTGCTCAGCGTATCATTGGTCACACGAAGAATGCTGATCGATCACAATTACATCTAATGGGAGAAACCATTCGTCTGTTGAACGCTTTATTGTCGCTGACCTTCATAAGCATAGAAATCACCGCTTACCGTTATATGAAACAAAACACCGCTAAAACGAAACAACTTTTGTTCGAAAAGCAAAACGGAACTAGTGCAAATTTCGAAAGCAAACAAATATATTGCCTTCTAACGGAACTGTCTACGCAGTACTGACAGTTCTGACGGTATGAAGAATACGGATGATAAACGTAGACAAAAGGATGAGAGATAAACTTATGCATTCATATTTTTTAACACTCCTCTCTAGGGTTTTCTCGGTGACAGGGAGCCGCTCTTCGGCTACAGTGAATGACCACGTTTCACAGCTATACAACCTTGTCGGCAGGCTGGTTGAATTAAAGAGGTGAGCACGGTCTTTCTAGTTGATGGCGAGGAGACGAACTTCATCGAATGGAATTTGCACAAACCGACCAGCACATCTAACCACTCATGCCCACATTGATTTCATGTCTGATAGCAAATCGTACCGTACGATTTATTAAACGGAAAAGGAAAGAAGACTTAACGTAATTAATTTATTGATAAGGAGATAAAAGTGGCAATATATGTTTGTGTTAATTCGTTTATTTCGTGAAACGTGAACAGCTTTTGTTGGTCAGATGCGGTAAGTGCATTCTCTGCAGTGGTTGTCGGAGAAAATAAACTTTTGTGATAGATTGAGAAGACAAGAACATCCATCTGCAAAGAACACCGTAGTAAGACTATGTACGAATGAACGAACACAGCCACAGAAGTAAATGCAACAAACAAAAATGGCTTACAGATATATGTATATACTTATAGTGAGTCATACCTGAACGACTTTGTCCATGACTTGTGGATACGCACACATAACGGACATCGGCAACAGCGGGGTCAGCTTAAGGTCCGGAAACCGGGATGGTGGAAACCTCCGTCTGATCATTCGGAGACACTTGTTGATTTGATCTCGCTTTCCTTCAAAAATGTCGCAGTGTCAACAAACGTCGCTGCGCATCGCAGCAATAGCCGTCAATCGTCAACCTACCCTCTATCGAACAGATCTTGTGGCTGCTGTTCAACACGTGTTCTCGAATGACGATATGCGCGCCGCTGTTTTCCTGTATCCACTTGATG